TCTAGTTCAATTCCCTCATTTCATCCACAAAGAAACTAAGGTGCTCATGGGAGAAGTCACTCGCCTAACAGAACAGAGCAAGTCAATGGCAGGATGAAAACTATAACTGAGGTCTCCTAGTTGCTACCCCTGATGCCCTGTCCACTAAAGCCCAATTGCTCCATGGTTCTCGAATGCTATACAAAATGGTCACGGGCATAGATTAACCAATAGTTCAAGCTAAACCAAGGGACTAAACCAAGGATGGAAAACAAGGGATGAAGGTGGCCAAATGGATTCAGTTTTGAAAAGTACAGCAGGATGAATGTACAGAAGTGGAAGCAAGAAGAGAGGTCTGAGCAGACACATACTAATGTACAAATCAAGTGCCTCAGTTTCATCTTCTTTCAATTATCTGAACAAAAATGGGTTTAATTGTCTTCAGTTATCTGAACTTTCTACTTTTTCACAATAAATATATATTGCTTTTGAAATAAATGTTAAGAATGCTTGGTTAATTTGTGGTGTGATGGATCTAATGGTGGCAGTATGATATAGAACAAGTATGATGGAAATGGAAGTCATACAAATGTGGGTTTCAAAAACAGCTCTACCACTTACCAATGGTGGGACCTTGGACACATTAATGAACCTATCTGAGCCTCTGTTTTCTCATATGTGGCTTTATGACCATGGCAATGTTGCCTTTAGTTGTAAGGCAACATTTAGATGTGTAAGCCTTTAGTGAAGGAAAAGAACACAACACAATTCATGGCATATAACAGATACGTAAGAAAAGGTTAAATAGCATTAGAACCACATTTGCACCTGTGATTACATCCTAAATCATTAAATGCTGCCTCCGCCCTTGAAAAGACGGTCATTTCACGTCATGCTCATGTCACTTGTGTGTACTAGTATAATTAATAGGACAACTGAATGGTAGCTGGTTTTATGGGTTCTGAAAGAAGACAAGCACAAACATGGAGAAGAATAGCTTTTCCATCATCCGATGAGTCTCCTGAGTGCTTTGACCAACTGAAGCAGGTTGCCAGCTATCAAGAGCAAGTAAGCAGCACCACAATACGAAGTGGTATTCAAACCTCTAAGAGACTGCTTTCATAAATAATAATAAAAAATTTTTGAGAGTGATACAACGATCTCAGCACTGTCACTTCACTGTTTCTTTCCATCAAGAGCTTCAAGTATAGTGTAGGGTATACATAACTTTGGCTTGGGGATAAGATCACTGCTTTTTATTCTCCCAGCTCTGTAATTACATAGTTGTGATATAAGCAAGGCATTTCACCTCTACAGATCTTACTTTCCCTTCTTTAAAACAGGATGCTTGAGTCAGATGAATTTCAGCTTTAAAGTCCGGTGGTCTCATTCCCACACATTTTCAAGACCCCCTTGTTGCGAGAGTCCAAGCTCTCCGGACACACACGGTATCCTCTCAGTAGGAGGCTCCACCTGCTCGGGTCAAATGATCTCTAGATCTCTAGGCTCATTCATAGTTTCTCCTCTACTTTGCTCTTCAGTGTTGGGATCTCCCATTTACGCCCTTCTTGCTGTCCTTGCAGTCTCAATATAAGCCTCACTCTCTATACAATATTTTCTTTGACCATCTCCGTCTTTCCCAACCTCACTACCCTTTTAGATATTGTTCACTGTGTCTTTACAAAACTTTCTGGACTAGACTGAGAAACATGTGAAGAGTATGATACCATTTCCATAACACCCAACGTAATGCTACACATTCTGAACCTTCCTTGGTTCTTTTTTAAAAAGAGATACCACCACCATCTATCACTTAAGAGTTGCTGTGAAGAATAAATGAGGTATTACTGTAAAAGTGTCCAGAACTTGACTAGAATCATTTAAGAACTGAAATACTAATTCCCTTCTTTCCCTCCCTCTGCTTGGTGACTGGTCTTCCCACAAAGTGGTCTACTAAAAAAATGTACTCATTTTGGGAGGTGGACATCTAAACTGTGCTAACAGCCTAAGCAATCCTTGGGTAAGTCACAATTTCTCTACAACTCAGATTTCTTCCAGTGAAGAAAACAGCACTTGTTCTCATCTTCTATGATAGGAGGATAAAATGAGATAATACATGAGAAAACACTTTCTTTTTAAGAGCTACCAGCATTATTATTTTTCATAACTCCTAGCTTCAGAGAGAAAAATCTTAAAACAACAGATGAGACAGCAAGATGTCAATGTTAACGGATGATTTGATGATGACTGTGAAAATCCCACTCTTGATATATACCAGAAATATAAGCAAGTTGTATTACTGTTCCTTGAGATAGAAAAGTACAGATACTGAAAAGACTAGGAAGATTTCTTTTTTGAAAATAATCACCTGGAGCATTATTTATCTCCCATGCCAACATATTTTCTAAGTCAAACAATATCATAAATACATCTGGGGTTTCATGGGTCTTGGAATCTGGACATATTCATTTGACAGTGCTAACTGCAAGCTAATAAAAAACAGTGACATTAAAACTTTTGTTTTTTGTAAATAAACTTAATTGACTCAGTCAGTAAAGAGCCTGCCTGCAATGCAGGAGACCTGGGTTTGACTCCTGGGTCAGCAAGATCCCCTGGAGAAGGAAGTGGCAACCCACTCCAATATTCTTGCCTGGGAAATCCCATGGACAGAAGAGTCTGGTGAGCTACAGTCATGGAGTCACAGAGTTGGACATGACTTAGCGACTAAACCTACCTACCTGAACTTAATTATTATCATCTTCTCTGCACTGAAGTATGCCACAGGTAGAAGTGGGGCAACAGAAAAGAAAAAATACAGTCCCCCAAATAATGCGATTTATTTGTATCAATGAAAGTTATCAATGCCTACAGGGTAGGTAAAACAATACAATCTAAGAAAGAACCATTGCACACAGTAAAGATCAAAATATACCCACAAAGAGACATTTCAGTCCCAAATCTTTTTGTGAAAAAAAAATATGAGGAACACAATTAAAGGAGGTTAATTTGGAGAAAAGCATTTTAGAAGAAAGATGCTTTTCTAACAAAATAAAGACATCAGACATTACTGTGACAAAACAAATTTTAGGACTATGATTTTAGTCCTAAAGGACTAAAACCTAAGGACTTTGCTTTCCTTTCATTTTAGAATGTAATTACTCAGACAGGTAGGTAAGTAAAGATGGGTGTGTGATGTGAGAGAGAGAGGGAAGGGGTGTATGTGTGTCTTTGGAGGGATTTAATCTCATTGCATGTTTCTTCTAATATTAGTTTATAAAGTCAGTTAAGGAATACCTATCCAAAATAGATCACCATTCTAACAAGGAGTCATATAAAAATATATTCTTATTTTTCTCTGTTAAACACCTTGCCACGTTTTTAAAACATTTCAGCTTTATTAATCTGTATAAATATGTCCTTGCCATAATTTGTAATACATTTTATAAGCGACTGGAGGAGATTTCATGGATCGCTAATTCATACATACAAATGTGAAGTTTGCATTAAACCTCTCTAAACAAAACCCTACTTCCTTGCTTTTTTTAGAAGCAATAGGATAAAGAAGAGACAAGAGGACTCTCGTTACAAAGACTGACCCTCTTAAAATTAAGGCTATTCTGTTCTGAGCATCAACCTGCTACTAAAACAGCCCTGGTACCAGGATTTTAAAAGGCCTGAGTCTGGAAAGACTACAGTGGTTGACTGGCTTAAAAAATAACATGTTAGAACCAGAGAAAACAGTGATTATAAGTGGTTGGCAACATTCCAGAGCTGCTTTTTAGTACTCCTTCGCTTTTTAGTACTCTTTTAGACTCCTTTGGCTACCAATTCCCATCTCACACCATTCATAGGTTTATGCCAAATAAACCAGGACACTGCTACTACAAAGTGTAGAAAATATCCAAGCAGAATACTGCCCATATGCACTTCAAATCACTAAATTCTTTCAGGCCTGCCTTGTCTGGGTATACTAAAATACACAACAGAATCTTCCTGAAGATGGGCACATTGTATAACTTTCTTGGAACAGATTATGGCACTTATTATTTATAATGATATTTTCTAAAACCTCTATCACTAAAAGTAGAATTTTTAATACATAACTATACAGTTTCATAATTCAATTTTCCATGAAGAGAACATTACAAATAGGCAGCAATCAAGTGAAAAAACAAATGACTGCAAAAAGAATGCTTAAACTATAAAGAAAAATATATAGACATTTCTTGAAAATAAGATGATTGTTTTGTCATTTTATTAACACTTAATAAATGATAGTTTTATTAGTTAAAAAAAGTCTTCTAAGATTGTTTTAAAAGTAAGCCATTTATAAATAAGCTACTGGCTTATTTAAAAATGAGAACAAAAGTAGTCCCTAAGACTATTTTAATTATCTTCAAGTTATCATGTTTGTACTGCTTCAAGAGACAGTGAATCATAATGCAAATACTAAGGAAATATTCAGATGACTTATTTTTTAGTTTAGCAATCTATTGAAAATGCTTATTTCCCCAGAGATACTATTCTTAGCCAGCTACACAAAATTCAAGACACTATTTGGCAACATGCCTTTTAAATAGCTGAACACCTTTGAACAAGTTGGGCCTATGTTGATTTCAAGTTGAAGTCTAACAAATTTAAAACAAAGTCCACATAATACTCATAAGGCAATATTACCTGGTTAAGTAAAATATATTCATATTTCAATAAAAATTAAATAGAACTGGATTAAATACTAACTATTCTTAATCATGGTTTGAGTCTGATAACCAAAATTTTAAAATTAATGTCACACAAACTACATCACACAAACTAACCAGTGCAAAGCTCTAGGCTTTAAACTTTTTGATAGTGTCAATAAAATCCCCAGGAAAGGAGAATACTGTAACTCTTCTTGGAACATAGGTGTTTTAAATCATAGTTAAACAGACAGAATGTTAAGAATGGTATGGTTTTTATTTTCCATAGCAAGTTTATTGACACTTTTTTTTTTCTAGTAAAGTTTGAAAATCTGATACTACCTGTCCACATAGAAGGGGAAACAAAACTTGGTCAGAGTCTGTAGAACTTCCTGTGGAGAGAAAGAGAGATAATTTATACATCTAATGGGACCAATAAATCTAACATTAACCACGGCACACAATCTAGCAACTTTACCCTAAAGAAAGAGGAGACAGATGAAGAAATATGGGCTTTATCAATTACATGGGAGGAGTACCAGGCAGTCAATCATGAGAAATAATAAACATGATCAAACTTCATTAAAAATGAAAAATTAATCAAGAATCACACATGGGCAAGCAGCAGGAGTCGTGCAGGAAAGCTCTGAAGGGAGGGAGGCGGGTGGGTTGCTGAGTGTTAACACCCCTCCAGGGACCATCTCCAGCCTGACCATATGGATCAGAGTGAATAACACTGAGCCACATGGGTTTGGCCTGGCAGGGCCGCTGTTGCTGGCACCATTTTTGCCTGTTACCTAGGAACAGAGGGGGCCAGGATTAGACAACGCTTCTCAACATCAATAGGCCAAATCACAAGCAAAATAGAGAACCAACTTGAAGAGAATTGTCCCCAAACATTATCAACTACATTTTTTTTAGAGTTTAAAACTTTATTTACTTATATTATTTACTTTATTTACATTATTACTTTATTTATTTACATCATAAAGAAGTTATTTTTCTGGCATGAATTTATTTTGTAATCAACTGTAATAATTTTAAGGGTGCAGTATTTTTAGTCTTTATCATTAAATATCATTATCAAAATTGTACACACTTACCTGCTTGCAATTTATAAAAACCCAAAGCAAACTACCAGTTTAAATTTCTTTTTACAAATATGTAGGTATATAGCACCAAACATTATTCAGGGGAAGTATGCAAAAGGGTACAAGAAAAACCAGACACTTTAAAAAGGTATTCATAAAAGAAAAACTTCTAACATTAAGAATACTATATGAGACACAATATAAAGTGGTATATGACTTTTCCAAATAGATACACTGCACATATAGAGAATATATACACTGCAACACAGAAACTCAAGTAATTATTATTTCCTTTGTAGAATTTTCTCTAACTTAATTTTAACTGCAGATTTGGACAGACCACAGTTGGTGCTTATCATAAGTTCATAGACCAATGTTATAAATTTTAAAGAAGTATTCCTTTCATGCATTTGATTTGCTTTTTAACAATTTAAAATCCCAACTTCAAGACAAAATGAAGAACACATTTTTCAGTCATTGAGAAGCTGGTTCAAATTAAAACAAACCTGCCCATTGCAAATCCTAATCCAAGTGATAAATTAAAAATCAGTTTACAAATGTAGCACTTTTTTAACCAATAATAATGAATTATCAATGCTAACTGAATTGATGCTTCTCGCTTCATTTATTTTTAAAACCAGTTCTATCATTCAAGAAATAAACCACATCAATCTAATAACCCACTCAATGAAGCAGAAAGCACATTGACTTCCTCTGCCAGAGCATGTTCTGCCTACATAATTCAATTGAGCATATCCTATTTTTTAATATCATTTTGGACTGGATGTATATCACAGCACTGTTAAGGCATGTCATGAAACAGAAAAGGAAAAGAAAAGTGAAAAATGGTGAGTAAGAATACTTCAGCATATCCTGGGGGCATTACTAATACATTAGTTAATTTCATAACACAGCATAGTCAGACTATATATATATGTATGTGTGTATGTGTATATATTGTTTTAAAATTCATGTTAAAATACGTTGCAATAGGTAACAGGGAAACAGAAAAACAACGACAATTTCTCAATGCATAATGTTATTATCAGGCCAATACTGGCAAAGAGATCATACAAAATATTCATTTTAATGTCTGCAGTTTTAATTATAAAATCTATTATAACCCCCCCACAAACAAGGCTCTTAGGATTTACACGCAAAATGAAATTCCTTACAAAGTCCTTTCACATCAAGTTTCAAACACCACAAAGCATGGCTTAACTCCAGTTTATGTACCGAGCATTCTTTAAAACTCAGTCCCCTGTGCTCACTCACTGCCAACATCAGCTACAAAGACATTTTATCCCTTACCCTTCAAAAGTTACAGGTGCAGAAATACTCCTCTACTCTATGCTGGAGCTGAGCTGCCAAAAGGCCTCAAGATTTTTTGAAAGAAAGGACCCCCATGGCTACAGCGGAGTCAGAGAAATCTAATATGAGCAACTTATTACTTACTACAATATAGAAACTACTTACCACTTTCTAATGTCAAGAGTAATAACCAACCATGAACTTGTCTGTCAGATAATAATAGAAGAAATATCAAAATACCCAATGTAGGCAGAGTATAACCCACCTCCCAAGAGTTTTCCTTTTTACTCAAGAAAGCAGTGGTAAGTCTAATTAAGCAATGGGATGGGGGAGGGGAGGAGGGAAGGAAATAAAGGCAAATGTAGGCACATGTTTGTGCATTACAATATGTTTCTTCATGTTTGTGATATTACAAGAGCTTGATATTCCAATTTAAGTCAAACAACACAGTGGTGTGCTGTCAGAGAAGAAAACAAAAATGAGCATTACTCTATGTTAGGCATATTCACACATTATCTCAATCAGAACTGAAAAATTAACTTCTCAGTTTGGGAAGGGGAGGACAGGAAGAAGGGGAAAACAAGTAATGTTTTCCATAAACAAAAACTGATGAAATAAACCAATTTTCTTAATACTAATGTTCTCCCCTATATATAAACATTTAACTACCTGATCCTCTCATTCCAAAGAAAAACACAATTAGTTTGATATGAAAAGTACCACTCTCCAAGAAAGGGGACTTTAAAAACCCTGGTTTAAACATATTTTGAGCATTATGCTTATAGGACAGTATCCCCCAGTCTTCCAATATTAACTTCACTGGGAAAACAGTCACTAGCCAGTTAGCAACCCCTTTTTCTCTCTAGAACCTGTGACTCTGGCTAGAGAACTTTGTGGAAGGCAATTTTCTTGTTTCCTCCTCTCTGTCTGTCTGTCTCTCTCGCCTACCCAAGCTCTTTCAGACAACTAGCCTCAGTACAACCTCAACTGCCACATAAATCGGCCTTCGAGATGCAGTACAGCTGATGAAATGTAAATGACCTCATTGCTAAGGCAGGGGGTGGGGAAGATTGTGCCAGCTCTCCAGATCAATTCCCAAGTTTATATTTTCACAAATCTTTTTATGTACAGTTTGATTTTTTAACATTTTAATGAGCAAAAAGTGCATCTATGGTAGCCAGTCACCACAGTTAAAGTGCAGGGCATGAACTAGATCCCAGGAGGGAACCAGTCCACCATGTCACCACTGGCTTTAGGACATTCGCCACCTGGTTCCATGTCCCCAGGTTCCAACTCTTTTCATAATCAAAACACTGCTGACATTATAAACCCCAGACGGGTTTTCTAAAATCCCTCCCAATCAATATATCCAACACATAACTTATTGGAGACAACACTGAGCTCATTGATTAAGGTGAGTTCAGTAGCAAAGTTTTCAAAATAAATGAGACAAGAATATAGCATTCAACCCCTTTGTGTCACCAGACAATTTATGAAATAGGCAATTTCCAAAAGGGCTTTTCTTCCCAACACAATATGCAATACTTCATGTTGGAAGAAGTAAGAGCAGAGGGGGCAGGGAGAAAGCGTGGAGGGTGGGTAGTTGCGCTAACCTTTCAGTTATATGTATATTAAGCAGCAGATCACACAGTACAGGAGAAAAGCAACATCTACAAAGCTCTGCCCACAAGGAGATAAACCAAATCTCAGAATGTGAACCAAAATATGAAATCAACAACCCTGACTCTGGATGTACTTGTAAATGAAAATCAGAAATGAACTCAAGATTTATTTCAGTCTTCTTTGGATTCACTTCACCCAATTTGAATTCTCATAAAATCAGAGGGCCCAATAAGGGAACTTATTCCGATATGGACAAAGTCAATTATGTTCTGCTGAAACTGAGATATTCCCTTAAAAATCTGGTAAAATTTTATATTATAATATTATCTATAATAGAATTCTATCTGGAGGCAAAAACTTCGAAGACTAAATTTAATTTAGTTAACAAGGATTATTAATAATGAGAAGGCTAAACCAATTCCCCCTGGATTTGGGGTGTGGAGTGAGAGGGTATATGAGATCCTGCAACACCCATCAGTTCAGATGTCAAATACTTTGTTTTCATTACTTCACTGAAACCCATAAGCAAAAATCAGTTGTATTTAGTAGATTAAAACAACTGACAGTCAAACACAGACACACACACTCCACAAATAAATGCCACCTGAAAGACAAAAATGCATGCTGATTATAATGTCCAGTGGGGTTACAAAATGTTGGGAAATGAGGCACATTCTCAATACCTCAAAAGGAAAAAGAAAATGTATGCAGGAAAACATTTAAATAGAGCAAAGAGATGGTGTGAATAAATGAATGTATTTTAAAATATGTAAAGCTATAATCAGCCTCTTTGTAGATTGCTGGTATAGTGGTTGATAATTTACCTTTGTCCAAAGAAAGGGTGAAGGAGGAAGAAGCAGGGAGACAGCATTTTCTGGATTTTTCACATCTAATTTATTTGTTCATTTCAAAATGTAGATGTAAATCAGTGGAGCCCAAATACTGTTTCACTGTTTCCAAATACTCTATTTCTAAAATACTCTGTTTCTATGCTTAATTTTTCTTTTTTAATAGCATGAGGGAAATGCTGACCCTCTAAGTCCTGCAATTGAGATCAGTGCAACTGACTTGAAAGAAAAGTCTTTGACTGATGATCTTAAAACTCAAGTTGAAAGTTAAAAACCGAACATACACAAAGTCCAAACATATAAAAAAGCTAACAAAATTTCTACTTTAAGCCATTTCAAGTTAAAACCAGAGACTCCAAGTGAAAGCTAACAGAAGTTTTAATGCTTATGATTAAGAAGAGTAAAATAGAATGGTAAGGTCTTAGATGCTTAATTAGCACTAAGTTTAACGAGGTTGATCAGAAATTTCCTAAATATGAAAACAGGAAATACAATTTTTCTCCTTCACTAGAAATGTCA